AACTTACCGAGCACCATCTAATCAAACTAGTTAAGTTAATTTGAAGCTGATACGATTGCGAAGGAAGAGAATAACTTGACATCGTCATTGAGATAAAGCTGGATCTAATCACCGAGGGAAGACCATTAATGTACAGATTAAATAAAAGGGTACTTAAGTGTCTGCCTTGAGGGTCGCCAGACGTTACGGGAAATTCAGCCGAGGTGACGAAGTAAACAGACCCTGAATGACCTGTTATGAAGACAAGAGCTTATCCAGTTCACTAAGTGCGAAAGGAGTGGAGCTTGTAGATCAATAAGTTATGGTTAATTAAGTCAAATTCCTTACTACATTCAGAATAAACGAAATCTCTTCAAGAGCCACTAGAAAAAGCCTAAAAAACATGGCAAGTGAATTCTAAGAGATTTGTGACAGTAGATAGTCCTTTCCGAAAGCCACGCAGCAATGGAGAAATCTAAGATTTGATAGCAAAAGCTGGGTGCTAAGTAACAATTCGCTCAAATAATTTAGGTAAAAAAATCAACTTGGCAATGCCTCTATAGTTCTCAATGTGACGTCTGTTTCCACATTTCTGATTTGGAATAAGGAAATTACACAAAGAGAAACCACCTGGCTTCATGCACATTAGAGCATGATTTGAGTGTACATGATGGAATGACATCACTACGTATTGGATTCCTCGGATCCATGTAACACGTCGTTTTCTCAAACGACCAAGTTAGGAATCGAAACCGAGTCAGTGATTAGATACGGATAGTTAACAGTTAAATCGGAATCAGCAGTTGAAAAATTTTGCCGTAAGTATTCAGCAAAGAGATTTCGGTTTTCAATATCACAGGAGGACTCGAAGCCATTGAAAGAAACCTGCTAGAGATGTATGCAAATTTTTCGTTCGGAATTGACAAACTTAAAAAAACATTAACGATTAACAGGCAGTGAGGATTTTATCCGGTGAAGATAAATTTTTCGAAGAGTTTGTTTTTCCTATTTTTGTAATATTTAACACTCTTTTTAAAACATGACGGGCACTTGCTTCATGACGGCGGGCTTGCTTGATCGGAACGGACGCAGAAATAGGTAGGTTTAACATATTACAGAAATATGATAGCGGGGTTGCAATATTCACAGCAGAAAAATCGAGCATAATGTGTGAACGATGAGATTGAGGCAGTAAGATATTGGTTTTATTAAAAAAATCATGAGTAAGTTGGATTTGACACATCGGCATGGTTTATTGGCGTGGATATTCATGTCTGCAGTGAAAGCAAATGCAAATTGCTGGATGGTACGGAGTTTCAGGTAAACTAAAAGGTGAATAGCGATTTATGGCTATAGCCAGGAAATTGGCAAAGCAAAGATTATAGCGGCCACAAATTGCAAAGGACGCGTCGGAAAATGCAATAATCGAGATGCGAATTTTCATAAAACTTCTCCGTAATTTGCAAATATTAGAAGGCAAGCTTTTGCTTAAACGTATGCTTACATGTAGTCATAAAATGAAGCAATGGTATGGGACGTTTTTCGAAATATTGTCGTCATCCTTGCGATGGCGAAATTTCGGATAGCGAGTTAAAGAGCACATGATTTCTGTCTTATTTCGATAACCAAGTTTAATTTGAAAAAAAGTGTTTTCTCTATAAAAACTTCCCAATGCATTTAAATAAGAATTAAACATTATTATTAACAACCGGTAACCATAATCATATCCCATAAATAAGTTTCCCTCTTAGCGCTAAAAGGTGGATATATGTTAGGTATGGATGTATGTTAGCTACGTAATAAACAAAAATAAGCATTCGGGATATGCGTTTTGGTCAGTGCAGAGTTCTGAATCGAATTCATCTTTTGTCGCACTTTGCACTATTGCAACTGTGTCCTTCTGTACTATGAATACGCAATAACTCGATTCTAAGAGTTGTCACAGTATCGCTTATCCACTTTACAGCAACTGCGACAGACAATAGCTAATATTAGCACCGATCAAAGTCAAAGTCTACCTGACTTTATATGCGGGTCAATAAAGGACATGAGACATAGATTGTGTTCGTCTGAACTTGTTACCTGTCAAAATTTATGTAATTCTTTCTCGCACTCGATATATACGTAACGCATTATTTTGCAGTTATCCTTGTTTTTTGATTTATTGTGAATGATCCTCGAGTTTTGGGAAAATTTGTTTTGTATAAACATTAATTAACTTGTTCACATAAGTCACACGTTTTATGCTGCGTGCATTAAATCAAGTCGACATCATTACCATCAGCATTCGTGTGAATGGAAAGATATAGTTTAATAAGCAAGAGCATCGAACCTTAATGCACAATGAATCAATGAATCATTCGGCATTACGTATGGGTCGCGCGCATGAGGCCTGGTTAAAATTTAAAATTTTTAATTTTTTTTTGTTTATTAACTAAAGGTTTTTTTGTGCTTGCTGTTTAAATAGCAAAGCTTTAGTATTTTAAGTTGTAAAAAATAAATAAATATTTAGATTTTACGAGAATATTGAGGTATTTCAGCGATGACGGCAATATTGTTGAAAAACATAGGATAACATAAGCAATGCTTGTGTCTGAGGTAGACGATGA